TGATGGGCAGCCCAATTTTTTTTTTTTTTTTTTTAACAGCTGCCCCCTCCCTGCAAGACTCAAAGTGTAATTCAAACCCTGTTAGTAATTCGTTAAAAAAAAAAAAAAGCTCAACAGATTCAAAGAAGAGGACCATGTTTCTACCTACCTTTTAATTAGTCCAACATGTCCCACCACTTAAATTTGTACAGGGTTGTAGGAAAAACAGCTTGTGGTTTGAGAGAGCAGTTATGAGATAACTTCCAGATTAAAACAGGTACCAGATTATCAGTAGGAGGAAATTCTTCATTTACACTCACCTATAAAACAACCTTATTTCAAGGAGGTCTATTGTTGATCCATGAAAGAAATTAACAAGATTATGAGAAAGATAGCTAGAGTGAGACTGGGTTTTCCTGTCCTTGTATATCAGGTTTGTTATATGGCCAAAATGGGTTGTTATTAGACCTGGATAGATAGTACATAATAAATAATAGTTGATTAATTCAATCTCCTCTTCTGCATGTGGAATTATCAACAACTGAATTGAAAAGCTCTTGTTATTCCATTTTTGTTAAATTTCATTTTTAAATCTTTGAATTGATCATGAATATTCAACACTTGAGGTCATTTGCAATTGGTTGCATAAGTCCCATGGCATTATTTCCATCCTCTGATTGAATGAGCCCACCAGAAATGAGTACTAGCCCATTCAAAAAGTAGAAACCATTTTTTTAGGACTGCCCATGTGTAGACTGAAATTTCCTTCCTGTAAACATTTGTACTGAAAATGCAATCACTTGGATGTTTGTAGAAAGCAGACATAAAAGGAGTGTGGGCTTGGCTAAAGCAAAAGCATTTATAATTTAAAGAGCAAGTCCTTAGCTTTGCTGAGCCAGCCACCAGAGATGTCAATTAGAGCCAACTGTGCCATTGGGTCCTGTGCTGGAGATACCTTTCTGCTACCCCCAAACTCATTTTATATTGGAGACACCAAACAGCCAGAGTTTTCATTCACTCTTGAGTTGAGCTGGTAGCCTAAAAGCGATTTTTTCTCTCTCCCCATTCCCAGTCCCTGGAACCATCTAGTCCCCAGAACTTTTAGAAATGTAAAGGATGAATGAACACATCAAATGCCAAGACATTTTGAAAAAATAACAAATGTAAAAAAGAAAAAACATGTGCCAATACCATTGCTGGGCACAGACAGCTCCATATTTTGTAGCTTCCAGACAAAGTCAGCAGCAACCGTCAGAATCTGTATTTCAAGTCCGACCTTCTGCTTTTATCTATATTTTAAACCCCACACAAGGTATACAAGGCGAATGTTGCTGTTACAGTCAGAAAAGCCTAAATAATGGATGAAGAACAGAGGCTGCAAAGAAAAAAAAGAAAGCTAGGGGGAAAAAAAGACTGGAAGAAAAAAGAAACCCTCCAAAATCAGAAAAAAGATGAACAGCCACAAGTAGTAAGAGAATCTCATAACTCCACTCCTGCACCAAGAAACATACTGAGTTGCTCAGTTGCCATGACTGACTTTGCTTATCAGTACCAAGAGCAAAATTCAGTATGTGTTCTCCTCTCCCCCCACCCACTGCACCGTAATAAACTGGGCTCAACTTTCAGAGAAAGGGAGAAGTTGGAAAGGTGGTGGTCTTAGCTGGAGGACATGAGAGGAAAAGGTTGCTGTATAGATCGGGGTTCTCTCATATTCCTCTGAGACAGTTTACAATCTTCCAAATTGTATTCAGGGTTGCAGCATTCTCACTTCTGCTGATATTGCCTACCAATATAGTATTGATTGCAGGGAAATGCTTGCCTTCCTGGAGGCCCAGATGATGCTACAGAATCATAGGTTTCAAAATGGACCTCAACAATCATCTGGTCCACAGGAGTGCTATTATTAAACCATCCCTGTTAAATACTTATCCAGCCTACTCTTGAAAATCTTCAATGATGGAGATCGTACAGCTTTCCTGGGCCGTCTATTCCACTGCCTTACTGTTCTGACAACAAGGATGTTTTTCCTGAGAGCTAATCTAAATCAACTTTGCTGCAATTTAAAAACACTGCTTTGTGTCCTGCACTCTGCAGCAAGGGAAAATATTTTTTCATAGACTCATAGAGAAGCTGGCCCGGAAGGGACCTCCAGAGGTCTTCTAGTCCAACGCCCTGCCTGAGACAGAATCATCCTTATCCAAACCATTCTATGTAATCCATAATCTAAATGCTACATAAAGCTAGTGTCAGTCCTGACACATCACAGATAAGACACCATAACCTGCCACAGTGAAAGCAGGAACTGTGGCAGCCAATGCCCTTTCTACAGAGGTTGTCAACATATCCTCAAGAGATCCCAGGTAAAGGGCCATGTCCCCAGCTACAGGGGAAGGCAAAATCACCTACATCTTATACTAGTCTGACCATGGGGTAAAATTCTTTTCTGATCCTAAATATGGAGGTCATTCTGACCCTGAGCCAGGAACCTCTGGCTTTGGTCCCAGAGCATTGGCACACCCCAGTCAAAATCCCCAGCTTTGGCTGTAGCCAACACCCAGTGCCTCTGTCCAGCCTCTTCCTAAGCACCTCCAGTGATGGAGAGTCCACAACCCCCCTGGGTGGGCTATTTCACTGCCTCACTATTCTAACAGTGAGGAAGGTTTTTTTCCTGATATCCAGTCTAAGCTTACTCTGATGTAAGTTCCAGCCATTGGTCCACATCCTCCTCTTAGCAGAAAGAAAAAAAAGGTACTTTCCCTCTTCTTTTATGACAGCCCTTCAAGTAATTGAAGACTGTTATCATGTCCCTTCTTAAGTGCCTTCTTCACAAGCTGAACATGCCCAGCTCCTTCTGCCTCTCCCTCATATGACTAGATTTCCAAGCCCTTCATCATCCCTGTTGCCTGCCTCTGGACCCTCTTTAACTTCTCTGCATCCTTTTTAAAATGGGGTGCACACAACAGCACACAGTTCTCCAGATAAGGCCTAACCAGTGCCAACTAGAGAGACATGATCACCTCCCACATCTTGCACTTAATTGATGCATTCCAAAACCACATTTAACTTTTGGGCAGCTGCATCACACTGCAGACTCATACTGAGTCTGTGATTTACCAAGGCTCCCAAATCCTTTTCCATAGAGCTGCCATCTAGCTACATGTCACCCATTTTGTATTTGTGTTTTTGACTAATCTATCTGAAGTGTAGCACCTTGCATTTGTCTGCATTGAAATTCATCCCATTAGTTCTAGCCCATCTTTCCAATCTGTCAAGATCCTTCTGAATTATGCTCCCATCCTCCTATGTGTTCACAATCCTTCCCAGTTTCATGTCATCCACAAACTTGCTCAAGAAGCTTTCTAAGCCAGCATCCAAATAATTAATAAACATGTTTAACAGCACTGGGCACAGAACAGACCCCTGTGGGACTCCATCTCCTGCCATTTTGACATGGATCCATTAATAATTAACCTTGCATGTGGCTACTGAGCCAGTTATCTATCCACCTTATAGCAGTGTTGTCCATCCCACATTTCTCCAACTTGTTTATGAGAAGGTCATGTGGGACCTTGTCAAAAGCCTTGCTGAAGTCCAGATACACTATATCCCGACCCATTGTCAAAGAAGGAGATCAAGTTTCCTTGACATAATTTGTTTTTCATAAATAATTGCTGGCTGCTTGTGATCAGTCTTTCCTCTTTCACATGCTTGTAAATAGCCTTTCTTATGGCAGCTTTTCAAATATTTCAAGACTTTTATCATGTCCATCCTTAATCTCCTTTTTTCCAGGCTAAACATACCTAGCTCTTTCAAGCTTTCTTCACATGGCTTTCTTCCTCACCTCTGCATCATTTTTGCCACTTACTTCTGGACCCTCTCCAGCTGCACCACATCTTTCTAAACATGTAGAGCCCAGAATTACACACAATATTGTGGGTAGGGCCAAACCAGCACCTAACAGAATGGTACTATCACCTGCTGTGTCTTACACCTAATATGCCTGTTGATACAGCCCAAAATCACAGATGCTTTTTTGTGACTGTCACACTGGTGACTCATACACCAAACCCCTAGATCTTTCTCAGCATCTTTACTGCCCAGCCAGACTTCTCTCCTTCTGTATCTATGCACTTGCTCCCTGTTCAATCCAAGTGGAAGAGAGGAACTATTATTTTGCAGTAGTATAGAGTTGCTTCGTTATGCAAGTAGATTCTCTGAGTGTTTAAAGGTTTGTGATTCATGGAAGTTGTGAGCTTATGCTCTAAACTAAAGGTGCTATAACGATTAGGTTATGTCTACACTGCTGTAACTGGAGTTCATGTATGTTGCCTTGAGTCAGCTAGCTCAGGCATTGTGAGCAGTGTGGCTGTAGTCACACATATGTCTGCACACACTAACTATAATGTAGGTAACACATGCAGCAGCTAAAATATGGACTTGCTTTTAGCTGACATTAGTTCGGCAGGATGGTGAGGCTGAACACAGCACACGGATGCAAATCACTGGCTAGAGCCACACCCCCCGTCTGTCTTCTGTGGCACACCTGGACATGCCTCACGGCACACCAGCTGGGAAGTGCTGCTGTAGAGTGCCAGAGCCAATTAACCTGCCCTACAGAGCAGCGGTATAATGGCTATACAACTTTCTGTTTGGGCGATGGCAAGCACAGAGAAGTACTGTGCGACTCAGCAGGCTGCTGGGCACAGCAAGAACAGTTTGTGGAGGTAAACACTCCCATCCCCGCCCCCCCATTCACCTTTGGTGACTACGATATAGACATAGCCTTGGCCTCACAAAAGGCCGTCCACCCCATACAAGGGCCTTCATCAACAATGGCTGCCTTCATCCCTGGAGTCATGTACAACAGTTTCACCATGAGACAAATCCCTTTAGAGCAGATTTTGTCCTTCACTGCTGTTAATTTTGCATTGGCTCAAACCAAGTAGACAAACACAAACCTCAGAATACTGACCCTGCTGTGCTAGTTACACTGAACAGTCAAAATCCCAGTTCCTTCTCCGCTTCCTCCATTCCCCATGTCCCATAACATCTCCACTTAGAGTCATTGGAAGGTTTCAGAATTGATGAATTAAGACCATCCGGGAACATGATTGTTTATCTGATGAGGATTTCAGCAATGGAAGCAGCAAATGCATATGAGTTTCACATGGAAATATTTGTTGCGTCTTTATTTATTTCCATATGCTAATATGTAGCCAGAGGCTTATGTATTTTCAGTGTATTTAAGAGTAGCAGGGAAATTTTGTTTTTAACAATGTAACTCTGAATGAAGAGTGTAAGGATTATATATAAATCACCATTATACCAAAAATCAGATTGTTGTTCTGTACCTTTTTTCTCCATTTCTTTTTTTATCACTTCTTTTGGGTAAAAAAAATCATTACTGCTTTTATTACACTGGTACCTAAACTCCCAAAGAAACCAGAGTTCAGCAAAATATTTTACTTTAATAAATATGCATATTAATGGTATTCAAACTTCTCAAAACTAACTTCATGAACCAGTTTAGTATCAGAGCTAATTAACATGAAATAATAATGTAATTTGTTCACCTACCTTGCAATTTTTTTCCTGCATAGATAAAAATTGTAAGGCAATATAAATATCCTTATCAAATACTCCCAGCCCCACACATTCAAAAATTGAGTCAGTTCTCAAAAATCTTAAATTCCGGGATTTTTTCATTTGCCATTTGGTTTTGGATACACAGGTTCCCCTAGGGCCACATTTTAAGCTTTTCTCTGCATTCAGGAGCACTAGAAATTTACCATTTTTTAAATTCAAACTGAGTTTTTCTCCAAATTACAATATTCTTTGAAAGGAGGCATCAAGAAAAATGTCATTTATTTTGTGAGTCACGATAAATTTGAAAGACTAGGGCTTATCTACAAATACAATTCAGTATAAAATTGAAGTTACGCCATAGTGACATTTTATGAAAAAAGAGGTCTGATTTACCCCATGATGCTCCAGCTTTACACTAGTGTAACCCTATGGAGCTAGATCAACACAGAAATGGAAAACAGCATTGGTGAATAAGGCCCTTTGGACCAAGCTTCCTGCTGGTTTAAGTTGCTCTGATTTCACAGACCTCAGTGGAATTTAGTCATATACCCCAGTAAAGAACTCAGTGCATTATTTTTAGTCAGGCCCATCATTCAGTAAATACCAATGCTGCAAAACTCTGTAAAGATGTGAATATCATGGTAATATGTGTTATCATGTGTTTGAATCCTATCTTTTCACCATATTAAGAGCTGTGGGAGGAACTAGCATGCTTTTAATGAACCTAGAAAACTCAGGATCTATGCTACGTACTCCTAAGTATCATCTATTTGCCCTTTATTTCGTAACAATATACATAAAAGGAGCTAAGTCTTGGAGCGATAGATGTCTAACTTTTGGCTGCCTGCCCAACCTTTAAGTTATTTGGAGATCTGTGTAAAACAGCTAAACTCCTCAGTCTGATATCACCTACCATGTTCATGATCAGATTACGCGCAATGGAAGGCCTGGGATGATTAAAAGGTTGCCTTGGAGAGCATGTTGTGTAAGGACATGAGCTACAGCCACAGAAACTGAGGGTTTCCTTCTATTTTGGATGGCAGAGCTTTATACTGAAGGGAAAAGAACTCATTGTGGCTAACAATAGCTCATTGTAGACTGGATGACTCACAATAAGAAAAATAACATAACCATTAAATACAAGCCCCTTTTGCTACCTCATGCGACACAAGTCAGAATCTAGCAACTGACTACCAAATGATGGCATCAAAGATGAGTCAAAGACAAGTCTGGGAAAATACAGCCATAGTGTCAATCTTTGACAAGGTCAGCAAGGCAAACATCCAACCAAACTCTACATCCTTGGAGCAGACCTGGAGAAGTCTTTGCCTTGGCAAGGGTTGCAAAGGGCTAGAATGGTTGGACCTCAACAGTAGAGATGAGCCCCTTGCTGTTGTGGAGGATTTCTGGGATGGAAGTACAGAGATGGACAGAAGCAGATCTTTTGCCTCACAGAGAGACTGGAGATGTCAGGTATGGATGGGTGGATACATGAATGGGGCAGTGCTCATTCACAAATGGCTATAATTGAGGCCTAAGCTTACTGAAGAGACTTCCTCTATGAGATGGAAACATTTAGTATAAAAGGGCAGAAAGAGTGTCAGGAAGACTTTTTACCAAAGGTTGGCTTAGAAAGGCTGTCCTGCTGAGGCCTTTGGCTTGCAATATTTTGAGAACGGGTAAACTAATGGACAATTTGAAATGCTGAGACCCTACCAGACCTAAAGGAGTATTTCTGGCTGTAGTCATTCTTAACCTTCATACATTTATGAGAAGGCAGCACGTATTCAGCACTGAAGCCTGTCTTGCCCAGGTAACCAGGGATGACAGTGACACATCCACTGATGAAATCTTATCCCAAGGCAGTGAAGATGCTGACATTATTCCAGACATGGGAGATTGTTCAGAGCAAGAAGACCATGTGCCTATGGAAACTTCATCCAGCTCAGATGTGGAGGAGTTGGGGCCACAAGCAGAAGCGTTGCCAACACTTCCAGCAGGAAAGGGAAGAGGACCAGCCCGGGGCTGCCATGGAAGATCAAGGACAGCTACAGCAGGACATGGAGCAGAACCACTGCCACTTCCCCCCACCCAGAAATCATTGCAGATGAAGACATCTTTAGAGGAAGGAATTGCAGAGCATGGGGAAAAAGTCCACGGCTAATACATCATCAGAGAATAGCCAAGCCCAGAGTCCATGGAAGTGCTGGGCCAACGAGAGAAAGTAATAAAAACACAACGGTGGAAACGTTCCACCTGTTTCTCTCACAAGATATCCTGACTGTTATCATAAGAGAAACAAACAGAGAGGTGGAAGGAAGATTCAGGGAGAGGAATGGTAGCCATCCTGAAAATAGAGAGGAGTGGAAAAAGCTGGATGAAACAGAGCTGAAGCCTACAGTGGCCTCCTACTGCTGAGTGGTCTATACCATGGTGGTCACGAGGCCCTGGAGGAGTTGTGGGAGCAGCACACCGGGTGTCCCTCCTTCTGTGCCACCATGAGTTTAAAACGATTCTGTCAAATCAC